TACCTCCTCTGGAGAAGAGGCAGGCTCTTTCAAAAACTTTCTAGTCTCGTTAAGTTTTTCTGTTGCATGATATCATAGAATCATTGCATTATTAAGGTTGGAAAAGGCCACTGAAACTCTCTAGTCCAATCATTAGCCCATCCCCACCATGCCCACTGACCATGTCCCTCGGTGCCACATCTCCACGGTTCTTGAACACCTCCAGGGACAGTGACACCACCATATCTCAGATTAACTTTGTTTTCACAAATAACTTTCTTAATAGATTTCTATATTCACCCAAATCAAACTGCTCGCTGGTTCTTAACAATTGCTAATTAGACAAGATTTAATACCATGGGAATCCTTTGCCTTATCTTTGACATAACCATTTCGCTTTTAATTGGAGAAGGCTTTGTGGACAGCCTGGTGCTAGCTCAGCCATAATTTTTTGCCCTCCCCTCAGCACAGTCTCAGCACAATCTGCTTTAACAAGCACTCAAAGGTTGTCGGTACTTTTGATTTCTTGCAGAAGCATTTGGAAGGTTACTAAGAAACTTAGCATGTCTGTAAGACTATGCTGTGATAGTGTCAAACCCAAGATTGTACAATCAACATAATTTATATAACGTGCTTAGAAGTTACAAGCTCCACCTTCTATCTACAGTTGATCGCCTGTATGGCTGTCAGCAGCCAGGTCCAGCATCTGTCTGCACAACCCCGAGCTTGTCAGGCCTCCAGACACAGAGCCAGTTTCAGCCATGGCTTCCCTCTGGCAGGGCAGCCAGCCTTCGGGTTGCGTGGGTGACTTTGGCTCGCCTCTTCCCACAGAAAACAAATCAGCCGCAAACTGGAACTCAGGCCAGCCGTGCTGAATGGTTAGCAAAATGTTCACTTAGCCCGAAGCTGGGATTTGTGTTGTCTGAGCCAAATTTCGAGAGAGGCAGCAACAGTTTCTAGTGTTGGGTGGATGCCAGCCAGGTTATGGAAGTTATGAGCAAGTGTTGAGGCCTGTCTCAGACCTCAATTTCAGGGATGCAGGCCTTGCAAAGTGGAAGCCAGGGAAATTTCACATGTAGACCACTGAGAGCTGAAACTGCAGCCCTCACTGCTTTTCCTCCGTTGGGTTCTGGCTGTCAGCTAAGGCTCATTTGCACATCACCTTAGGTTTGCGGAGAACTCCTGGACTTCTGAGACAGAAGTCATTCCATTTTAGCTTTGGATGATGGTGCTTTGGAAACCACAAGGTCACCTGAGAAGTGCGGTGCTCACAGGTCTCCTTAGTTGTTTCTCCAATTTTCTTTCCAAGTTTTCTCGCTTCTCCAGAGACACTGGTCTGCTTTACAAATTGTTTCCATTCGCATCAAGTCTCAGAGCTGCCTGAACCACCATCCTGTCCTCTACTCAGGGACTGAATGATGCTCAAAGCTCTGGGCTCTGATGCTCTCTTCTACACCCTGTTCTGCCTAGGGCATCCCTGACATTAATAATTTTCTGTCTGGAGAATCATGTTCTGTCTGAGTATGGAATTATAAGACATTGAGCATTCTAAAACTATGGGAACATAAGATGCAATGGAATTTACAGGTTCAGGTCTTGTATAATAAGCCAAAGGCCTTATGGACTGGCAAGTTGGATGGGAGAAGGGAGCTTGGAAGGCATTATTAATCTTATGGGGAGTCCTGCTTTGTGATCAGTGTAGTCCTCTGCTCAGGGGAAAAAAAAAAAAAAAAACAAACAGATTGTTCCCAATATAAATCTAAGATCAGCAATAAAAACTCTTCATGTTGGATTTATTCATCCATTTTCCCTTGGTTCTCTTGCTCCAGACTTTCTAAACCAGAGAGCTGTGCTGCTTGGCTGGCTGTGAGGGAAAGAGGTTAATACTGAAGATTACACAAGGTTCTGCAATTAGACAGTTTCTTTGTACCATAATGTAGGCGCCAAGATGACCTCAGAGGCCTTTTTTGCTGTTGCAGAAACATATTGGACAACTTTTCTCAGCAGCTGTGCATTAGTGTTCCATATTTAATGGGCTGATTATAAATTACAACAGCTACCCTAAGATCTTCCCATCACTCTGGATTTCTTCACGGCAACTTTCTTGCTTTCCTTTTTTTCCCTTGCCTCCAAGGGCTGCTTTGCAAATATGTGCCATTCGGTGGGAAAGCAGATGGGAGGATAATAAAAGTTATGTTTTATGGATTCATACGAAGACTGCTCTTTTTTTTCTTCTCAGGAAGAAAAAAAAAAAAAGGGGGGGGGGGGGGGAACAAAAAAACAAGAAAAAAACTCGCCTCACATTTCTTTTCAGGAAAAGAAGTTCCAAGCGAGCAATGCGGGACTGATAGAAATGGGAAAGATGGAGCTGGGCATATCCAGAGGTAGAGGAAGATGACTTTTCAGAGCTCCTGATACAGATGGGTTTTTATTAGTATTATTTTGCTTCACCTTGGGTCTTTCATCCCACTTGTACAATCTACCTCCACACAACAAGTTCAGTATATGGTATATTTCTACTTGCTGGAGTCAACAGCTCATGAAATAAATGAGGGGAGAAGAGAATAGGGAAGAATCCCAGCCCTCTCAGCTGCCTGGGAGAGGCACACATCTGCTTTGCTTAGCGTGGGGCCCAGCAAGGCGGCCCAGCTGGTGGGCACTGGTCAATCACTTGCCTCCATTTCTTCAGCACACTTTAAAGACCCAACCCATGCAAGTCTAAGTTTCAAATTAGGAAACAGGGCTTTTCTGTTTGTCTTTCTTCCATAGCTTTCCTTCTCCTGCCCCTAAACTCTAGTTGGCTTTGATTCCTCCTTAAGCTGTTTCTTATGTGTAGTTTGCAATGTTGTTGTTTGTTGTTTTTTTTTTTTCCTATTTTATTTTTAGGAACACTTAAGGGTGAAGATTGTTGGACTGGTGTGCGTGACTAATGAAAGCTATATTTTGATATATTTATTTTCCTATCCAGTTTTCTAGGGGTAGCTGGAATTACCCATATCTTCTTAATGGATGTGTGTTTCTGGTGTTGTTTGTTTTTCTTTAGTGAGAAACAAATGCCCTTTACTGTGGAGGAGAACTGCAAACACCTTCTCAGCCGTGTTTTTGCATCTGTAATGTCCTGTAATCAACGGGTCTCAACCCCACTCAGCATTGGGCCCCCAAAGCTTTTGAGTGGCATAATGGATCTTCTAGGAATTCATGGCACTATTTGCTCTCTTAACCTGTTAAGAACTCTTAGAAATGATCTGTGGATCCTGGGAATCATTAAGCAGGGGATTGAAAACGTGACTTGCAATTGTTTGTATGCTAAGCTCAGAGGCTAAGTGTTTTGGCTGACATCAGAGCTTTGGCTCTTACTCTCTTCCTTTTCTTTTCCCAATGCACACCTCCATCCCAAGAGATCTGGAGACTCCCAGCCCAATTTTAGGCAGCAAAAACAAACTTTCTTTATTTTTTTTTTTTAATAATTGTGCTCTAGGTTTTCTGGAGCCTGAAACACAGCAGGGGGGCTAGGTTAATACAAACCAAAAGCACACTTGCTAATCTAGTCTGTATGCTGAAAGTGAACAAAATTCCTGCTAGGATGAGGTCAGTGGCACGCAGCACTTCAGAATTGGCTGAGGTGTAACTGTGACAGCAGCTGCCTGATCTTAGGGACAGGCATGAGCCTGGGGCTCTCCAAGCAGAACACTGAAAAGCCAAAGTCCACAGGCTGATAATGAATAAGTGTATTTTAAAGCTGCTATCTGTTATGTGTATCCTGCTCTAAAACAGGTATAGCCCATAGATGGTAGGAATAGCTTGCTCTCAGTTCAGAAGAAAACACGTAATTCCTAATGTTAGGAGGGTCTTTAGACCAGTAGAGAAAAGGACGTAACAAGATCCAACATCTGTGTTTATTTAACATTGATTTCCAATTGGGAAACAAGGTGAATGTTTTTAACAATGGAATGATGAACCTCTGGAGCAGTTGCCTGAGGGATGCGGTAGGCTCTCTGCTACTGAAATCTGATATATCAAGTTCAGATCACTTTTCTGAAAGAGGTGTTCCAGCTCAACATGAAGTCCCTGAGTTCAGTGAAAGGCTACAGTGTGAATTTTTACATCCGTAGGTAAGTGGGAGGTCAGATTAAATGATCATAATAGTCTTTTTTTTTTTTCCTTCCAACCTTTTGAGTTGAAATCCTTGAGCATGCACTTCATAAAAGTCATATCAGAAAGATGAGAGAGGTCTTAAAGGCAAATATTGCCTGCCAAACCCAATTATCAGAGCAGCAGTTGAAAGTGATTTGTGCCCTTGCTCAGCCTGAAGCATTTGACCACTGATTATGGCAAAGGATGTATGTGGTGGTAGAAGTGAGAGGGCTGCAAGGAAAGGGCTTGCAGGTGCAGGAAACTTCCACTTTCTTCATATGAAGACTGGAGAACAGTGTGAATTGCCTTGGGCTAAAGAGGTGTCTGCTTTTTGGAGAGGTGCCCAGGGAAGAGAGAGTGTCACCATCCCTGGAAGTGTTCTAAAAACATGGGGTTGTGGCACTGAGGGACATGGTTTAGTTGGCAATACTGGTGGTAGGTAGACAGTTGGACTTGATGTTCGTAGAGGTCCCTTCCCACCTAATGATCCTATGGTAATGTGCCTCAAAGCCTCTCCTGTGTCTCATATTACAGTTAGTGCAGTGCAGATGCACATGAAGCAGGTCATCTCACCTCCAGGGCTTCACTGCAACCCTTTGTAAGGCTGTGAGACAAGCCTTTGCTTCCTGATGTATAAAGGAGAGAGCTGGCAGCACCGTGAAGCAGTGTTTGCAGCCAAGCCTGCCTTGTACCTGATGCGCCGCATGCATACAGGTTATGAATAATTTCTTCCTTAAGAAATGAGCCTAGGTTAAAAATAGCCCCTGCCTTTAGCTGCTTGCTGCCTCCTTCCCGCTCGCCGAGGTCAGAGATCTGTCGAGGTGTTGGCAGTAAGTTTTAATGTGGAAATGTTTAGAAGTTAAAGCTGTCTGGTATCTCTTTTCCAGTGCGCAGAGCTCTGGGGCAGATGATGGAGTGGTGTTCTCACCCTGGCCTGGAGAAGAACCTGTCTGTGAAGAGCACTAGAGACAATTTCTCCATTACATAACCCGGCCTCAACTCCACTGAAGCTGTTAACAAAGGGCTAACAGCACGGTTTTGTGATGTGATTCCTTTCCAATTGCAGCTGGATCCAGAGAAGGTGTTTTAAAGCTGCTGCACAGAGGTAGTGATCTTGCTGTACATGGAGGAGTCCCCTGGTGTAACGCCATCTCTCTGTTACTGTCTGTGATGAACTCTTAAAACAAGGTGCGTTTGGAGGGTACATGGTGACACTTACACTTGTACATTCTTGCTTCTCTTCTGTGGGATTAGATCTGCTATGAGCATGCAGAGCTGGACAGGCTGCAAGCTTAGGGCCTTTCCTGCTCCAGCTGAATTAGAATCATAGAATCATAGAATCACCAAGGTTGGAAAAGACCTAAAAGATCACCCAGTCCAACCGTTCACCTATTCCCAATAGCTCCCACTAAACCATGTCCCTCAACACAACATCCAGTCTTTCCTTGAACACCCCCAGGGTCGGTGATTCCACCACCTCCCTGGGCAGTCCATTCCAGTGCCTGACCACCCTTTCTGAAAAGTAATACTTCCTCATGTCCAGCCTGAATCTCCTCTGCCGTAGCTTGAAACCATTCCCCCTGGTCCTATCACTAATGACACGAGAGAAGAGGCCGACCCCCAGCTCACTACAACCTCCCTTCAGGAAGTTATAGAGAGCAATAAGGTCTCCCCTGAGCCTCCTCTTCTCCAGGCTGAACATTCCCAGCTCCTTCAGCCTCTCCTCATATGGCCTGTGACCTAATAGACCCCTCACCAGCTTTGTTGCCCTCCTTTGAACACGTTCCAGGGCCTCAATATCTTTCTTGCAGTGAGGGGCCCAAAACTGGACACAGTACTCGAGGTGCGGCCTCACGAGTGCTGAATATAGGGGAAGGATGTAAGGGGATTACACTGATGATTTCTCATTAATTCTCAACTCAGGACTTACAGATTTTGTCACCATACGAGAAGCAGGGTCACAGACACATGGTATCAAACACAGGCTCCTTCCTCACCTGTTGACCAGACGGACTCAGCAATAGTTTAGAACTGTAAGTAATGATATGTTCCCGCAGCTGGCAATGAAATAATCAGGATTAAGCCCCAAAGGCACAGTTAAAACCATGCAGCTCACACTGCGGTGAAGGGGAAGAAAACAATCGGGTGTTTACTTACTGAGCTGTTAATGAAGTGGTTTTTACTCTGACTAATCAAAGCTCTTGAGGTGGGTGGTGTTTTGCCTGAAGAAGAGAGGGAGACTTCTGGTCTCTGTGCTTGGAAGGAGAGTAAGGAAGGAACTGCAGGAAGATAAAAACATCTTCTGGCACTTGAAATATATAAAAATTCTGTGAGTGATGACCTCTTTGAGTTTCTGGCATACAGATCTCCACACAGACAAGATCAACCATTGATGGATGGTGCTAGGAGGGTGAGGAGGTTGACGTATGCTGGCTCCAGAAGGATCTGAGCCAGGTGCTGAGCTTTGAGACAGCTGGAGCCTGAAGGGAACTGAGCAGCTGTAGATCTCCATCCGTACTATCAAGGACGTGGTCACACAACTAGGCAAGATTTGTGTCGCTGTCTCCAAGTAACCCTTTCCTTTAATCCCAGTACTCAGAAAAGATGCTGTTGTATTGGCTTGGGAACTCATGAGCATGAAGCTTGTTCCCCTCTCTCCACAGTGAAAAGCTGTATGGCCCCCTGCTTGTCAGACACATCTATGCCTTTTCTGTGGTGCTGTCCTGCAGCATCCTTCATGTGAGTGCTCTCAGGTGCTGCCATTTCCTCTCTTCTCCTGCACCAGAGCAATACGTGCCTTCCTTGTCTTGTGGCTATGCTTTGTCTGCTCTCAGCCTCAGTGACTCATTGTAAAAAATGATCCAGTTTTCAGAAAGCACAGGGTTCTGTGTCCTCCACTTAATTATTGTTTTATTTTAATAAGCAATTATGTTTCAGAGGCACCTCAGAGCTCCAGGCGTTAACCACTTATCACCTGCTGAGTGATTTAGAACTAGTGAAGCACATCCCATTTGCAGGTTGGAATAAGGCCTGAATCCTATCAGCAGACAAATGAGTTCAGAAAAGCTCAATGTTTGTAACTCCATTGCTTAGGGATTCATCCCCAGGTCCTCAGAGAGAGGCTGACAGTGGGCTGGAGGAGCTGTAGGGATGTCTGTTCCCTTGTTGTTCTGATAACAAGCAAAGGGCTCATTAGAGGCTGTGAAAGGGAGAAAACTATCTGTTGGTTGTTCTATACAATTTGCTTTGCCACAGGTATTCCGTGAGTCTCTCTCAATTACAGACCACAAAACCCTAGCTGCTCAATCTACCTACAGCTTGGGGTTCATTGTCGAGGTGACAGCCACCTCCACAGTAAGAGGGCAGGGCAGGAAGGCAGTGAGTTTCAGCTCTAGAACTGATGTCAGAGCTGAGATATTAAGTACAATTAATGGTTTGTTCTCAGGACTTATCTTCCACCACTAAGCCATTTGTTGAGCTTCCTCCAAGAGCCTGAAACAAATTGGCTACAGCAATCTGCAAGAATAAACCTTGAGCATTTCCATGGACTGCATGGAATCTGAGCACAGGTATCTGATAGGGGTGGATGGGGCTCTTGAGCACCTGATCACGTGTAGGTGTCCCTGTTCATTTCAGGGGAGATGGACTAGATGGCCTTTAAAGGTTCCTTCCAATTCACGTGATTCTATGATTCTACCTTGAAGATAAACCTGGGTTATCAAATACTGACTGGCTTTCTCCTGCAGCTTTTATGACCTAAAGGTTTCTTTATTGTCCTCCCACATCTCCATGACTTCCAGGTGGCACAGTTGGAAGCCCATTCAAAAATATAATCCCATTACATCTTCTCGTTTTTAATGTATGACATAAAAATAACAATGCAGCAGGTAGGCCTGCATTTAACTCCTCGGTTGGAAGGTTCAGCAGCTCAGCCCGTGCATGCTATAAAGAATTATTATTGGCATTATCTACTGTGTTAGTCAGCACATGTGCCATATGCTCCAAGGTGTATGTCCTCCACTGAGTCATTTTATATCTTCCATATGGGGTCTGTCCTCAAGGTTCCACACAGACTCTGAGGTATTGAGGCAATAATGAGAAGGGTAATAAATGCAATAAGGGAAAAATAGGGCTGAATCTTGCAGGGAGTCCCTGAGCAGCAGGAATAGGAGGCTTCTTAATTCATTTCCTCCTCTTATGTTTGGTGATACAGAGCAAAGGAGGGGTGGGAACAAGACAAGGATATTAGAAAAGGAGAATCCCATGTCCTTATTGAGGAGAACGTTTTCCTCCCACTTGCTGCATGAGGAATCCTTTGAGTGTAGTACATTTGAAAGAGTCTTACCTATGCTGCAGATGCTTATTCAAAATCATTGTTGCTCTGAATTAAGGTGAAGAGTGTAATTATCACTAGTTGTGTCCCCTAAAGTAACTTAAGCTGTTCAGCTGTTGTTTCAAAGCTCCAAGCCTGTGGTCCTGCTCATTTTCTTCTCCAAATTGACTTTTTTTTTTTTTTTTTTTGCCAGAAATAAGGAGGCGAGCTTTCTTTTTGGGGAAACAGCCATTTCTAAGCAACAACCAGCCTGAATTACATCGTAGCACCCCTTATGTTCCCACCTATGCACCATCAGAATGAGCCCAACAAGAAGCTTCTGTTCTCTTTACTGTGATTTTTGCCTCACCTGTCCATCTGACCTTCCGCTGTCACTGTCTATTTCCTCCCGACCCTGTCTACTCTGATTTAGAGACTGATGTTTCCAGTATATCTCTTGACAGAAAGAGGAGGATTCCCAGAAGAGACTCTGTCAGTGCCCAGAAATGTAGATTTGCAAGAGGTGGTCCAACAAGGTGCATTTAGGACTTGTTTATTGCTGGCTCATTCCTTTCCAGCCTCAGGCCCCCTGGAGCCAGGGAGCCTCAGCTTTTTTCTGCAGCCCTCCTGATATTCCAGTTTGGATTTGGGATGCAGCTCAGCAAAGTTTACCTGTCATATCCACAACAGGCTGGGGATGGCAATGCTAATATTGCAACGTCTTTAGCAGAGCTCGATGATAGCATTTGACCCAAATTACAAAGGGAAAAGAAGCAGCTCTGTAAAAACTAAAATGTCTCTGGTCAACGAGTTCTATTGGAAACAAATAAAAAAGCCAAGAATGAAAGGGGCACATTCTGATTTCTCTCTTGTCTTAGTGTGATTTTATGGGGCTCAGCTAAGCGATCATTGCATAGACCCCGAGGAATCAGACTATGTTTGCTGAGAAGGCAACGTTATGCTTTCATGGCAGCAGGAGGAAGAGCAGTGTGAATAAGATGGCTTAGAATCAGGTCCCCTTCTCTCTGCTGGAAGCTTAGGGAGATTGGAAATGTACTTTAAATCAAATAGAGGTACCTGGGCTTTCGGGTTGTGTGGCATTTTAATTTTCGTACCCTTCCTTAGAGCTTAACTCAATGAAGAGAGTGATGAGAAATGCTCTGGGACTGACTTGTGAAGACCTGATGGGGTGTAAAGTAGTGAGTAGACTTGTCAAGGGGAGATTGTTCAGGGCTAAATTAAGGTGAGAAAATAGTGGATGGACTCACCTTAATTTGAAAAGTACTCAAGAGTTCCTTGGGTGAAGATATTCAGCTGCTTGTTAACAATACTTACCTTATGATCTATCAATATTTGTGAATGCATCCCTTTACGTACTTTATGTACAGTCTATGCATGTCCTCCAGGCTCACTATTGTGTTTTCCTGCAACTAGAAAGCATGGTTATTTTGATACACAACATAATCTTTGGACAGCTGAAGGGACTCCCTTGCTCCCAGATCTCAGGGCGATAGTGAAATATTTGCAGTTCAGTGGGAGATGCTTCTAGGCTGCATTAAGGAGCAGCAGCCACTATGTGTGGGAAAGTTATACAGGCATCAGTTTATGCTTGAAGATCCTGAAATTGCACATGTAAGCCAGATGGAGGTGCATGGCTTGGCCTTGCAGACACGTAGAAGGTACGTGTCTGAGCTGCACCTGAGCATGACCCAGAGGACTCTGAGTGATGTGATCCTTTAGAGAGAATAGTGAAATGCAAATATTACAACTGGAAGTGAATCCTCATAAGGTCTTACGATAGTAAAAATGTTCTCCTCATCCTTGTCCTATAGTTGCAGTATGAACACATTTTCTTGAACGTTTCTTCATGTGTTTTTGTTATTGCTGAAGTGAGCTGATGTTTTCATGGTATTGGTGGATGTACCTGGGACAGTGCTGAAATACAATCTCTGTAGCTCAACTTTCTTGTTCCCACTGTTTCTCAACAAGGCTTGGGCAGGGGAATGGGCCACAGGGGAATAGCTGGTGAAACAGGAGAGACACCTTGATACAAGAGCCATTTGAAGGAATATTAATTAGCAAGCAGCTAGTTCTGGACAATTGAATTTCGGCTCCAGATGTTCTCATTCTGACTAAGTGCTTTAGCAAAATGCTTAATTGATTACTATCTCATGAGCTCTGTGTGTGTGTGATAAAAACTGAGACTGCTGAGTTAGAGGGGTTGTCTGTTGATAGCAACACAGCACAGTATTTCCTCACCTTTTCAAACTTACTCTTTTTTTATCATAGGGAAACCGGGCAAGGTTTCAAAAGCGTTCTTTAATTTGTAATCTTTATTGTAGTCACCGTGCTGGTTAAAGTCACTAAAGGCCCAAGTATACAAGGATGAAATCAAATAAAGACACATCTGTGTTTGGTGTGAAAGGCCTTTGAGCATTGTTAAAATGAGGGACTGTTAATTTAAGGCCTTCTTGATTTCTGTACATCTTTATAACAGGTACAAGGACAGGGGGACAAATTAAAAATGAAATAGACTGTTGGGATAAAATGAAATCAACCTGAGTTTTTGCCCTAGGCTGTAATTGAACCGGAGCTGAAGTTCAAATAAGAATTTTATTTATTTATTTTCAAGCTGGCCTTTGAGCCAATGAAGCTCAGAAATGTCAAGCAAGTAGAAAGGGTTGTTACAGCTCACACCTTGGGTGGGGGGTAGAATCCAAGTGCTGCAAGGCAAGGGATGTTTTATAATGTGTAAAATGATATTTTGCAATGATGTTAGATGGCGGCAGAGTTTTGACTTGGATTCTTGCAACTGGATGGGATGAGGGTTTGTTGTTTTTTTTTTTCCTACTGTTTTTTTGGGTGTGGGTTGTTTTTGTTTGTTTTTGGGTTTTTTTTTGGCAGACTGTATACAACTTCTTGTGAAATCATTGAGATCTCTTCATTGAAGTTCAGTGGAAGCTGGCTTGACTCTAATGGAGATAATGGCCATTAAAAAAAAAAAGTTGTTTTCATGATAATTAGTAGATTTGTTACCAGTTGATCCAGTGTGGTTTTTCCCTTGGAAAATGCACTGATCTCTATGGAATAACCCCTGACTTTTTTGTCTCATTCCTTTTGCATACTACAGAAGTTGAACTGAGTGCAGTAGAAGAATAAAATTTGTTCCTACAGAAATGCGAGTGTTTTTTCCCAAAAGCATGAAACATAATTAATGGACGTGACTTCTGCACCAAAAAAAGTCATATTGGTAGGTAATATTAGTGTATTGTGCTGGGAGAGCAATTGCATATTTTATTTTGCCTTTCCAGAGTTGCTGGGCATGAATTTCTGCAGCATTATGAAGCTGTTATGAAGACCTCAGTGCTACTCATGACCTTTGGAAAATGTGGGATTTAATAAGAGAAAGGGCTCTGAGGTTGATTTGCTGAAATACCCACTACTTATTCCTTGGCATTTGGTTATGCCGGATGCTTTTGTTCCAACTGGGGTTGCTCATCTGTGAGCAACAAACTAGTGGCACAAATCCCCATGCATGACCTTCACGATCTTCTGTGGCCTAAGAAGGTTCACACCCCACTTAATTTGCAGAGACTGTTTGGATCTTCCAGTTTGACATCACTGATGTATGTGGCAACAGGTAAATGAAAATAAAAGGCCAATTTGAGGGCAGCTATTTCTGACATGAGAATTTAGGAGTAACGAATTTATTCTTTTGAAAAATAGCTATTTTTAGTGCTCATGGAGGGTTGTTTTCTAGGGACTAGTGACAGGCTGTGCTGCCAATGTGTGTAGGTTGATTTTGGAGAAGCAGCCAGCCAGCTTGTATGGGGGCTGATGTCTTGCAAACTCCTGAGAGCATGCTGGCACAGGAGACTTTCTATTAGACTAGGACAACACAAACTGTAGCTGAACTGTGCCTTTTTACAGATGGTCCTAATCCTAAACCTATTCCATTTCAAGTTCAACTGATCCTCGTCCTTTTAGGCTATGAACTGACTGGCAAGACTTACAACATCTCATGGCTCACATGGGACTGGGATCCAAATATCTAGAATGTCATTAAGTCAGATTTGGGCATCAAATTTGAGCCTCTGGCAGCAGGATGTCAAATCCTGGGCTGAGCCTCTTCTGGCTTATTAGTTCCCGAGCTCAAAATGACAGACTGTTTCTACAGCAAGCAAACTGCTGCTCCAAAAGAAGAGATCAGTGGGAGCAGTTGGGCATTGACGAGCAAAGGCCGAGTGCCTGCTCCATGATGTTTAGGTCTTTGTGATAATAATTAGATCTTAAAATGTGTCAGTTCTGTATAGGGCAAATCATCAGCATAGGCCAGCAGCCTGTTTCCATGGGAGTGAGTGTGTCTGCTGCTGTGTGACTTGCATAAGAGCTAGCTAATGCAGCTGTGACCCTGCATAGCTGTATCTCAGCTTGTAAGCTGTGGAAGCAGGATGGGAATGATGTGAAAATGAAGGACTCTTGCTACCTCCTGACTTCTGCTGTCTTCATCACTTCTGACTTTCATAAAACGTTCCCCCGCAGAGGTGCAGTCAGTGTTGCTGCTATAAAGGCAGTGAGGAACACTGCCAGTGTCCAGGGGTCCTCAGAGAACAGCTTTCTTTTCCCATCAGAAAAACTGTGGCTATGAATTACCATTTCTATGTTGCTTTGAGAGAACAGAAATGTTACGTCTGTGTTCCTTTCTGTTTCTGCCACTCTCTTGCTACCTCAATAGTATTCATGCTATGAGGAAGGACGAGATCACTTTCCTTGGGAAAGAGGAGGTACTGAGGTAACCAGGGATGACTGCAGAACCAGGACAAGGAGAAATGGTCATATGGACTGTAAAACTGAGCCACTGCACTATACTGAAGTCAAGCTTTCTCTGTGCATTGATGCATCCCTGTTATCTAGGGGAACCATGGCAAGCAAATTCATTTGTTGCATATACCTTCTCCAGACCAAGGAGAGGAAAATTCTCCTTCCCATAATCTCCACTTTCTCAAGACTGACTCAATCATCTCTGTTCAAGAGGATGAAGAGAAGAATTTGGTGATATATGGAAATGGCTGAGTCACGGCCTGAACTACTGATTGAGCACCTGGGGAAAGGACCCGGTCAGCTCTGGAAGCACAGGTGAAGGCAATTCAGCTGTGTGATCAGAAGGGGTGGAGCCTGGTTGCACCTCTGTTAGACCTCATTGAAGTGCTGACCCCCACTGCAGAAGGATCTCTGGTTGGAGATCTCCTCCTTGTGCTTTTTCCCTGCGACCATAGAGGTGGGTGAGCACCTTTCTTTTTCCTCTGTAAGGCCATTCTGTTTGTGCTAGCCTCTTTGTTGTTGTTCTCCTGTATTGCCCTTCTACCGCGTTGATCTTTTGGATAATAACAGCTGACATATTTGGCTCTCCCCAGAATCCATGGTACAAAATGCAACTTGTATTCAAGGCTGCAGTGATTTTATCTTTTGTGTTCTTCTCTCTTTTCTCCTCCAGCCTTCTCACTATTGCCTACACAGAGAATTTACAGTTCTTTCAGCTGCTCCTTTTCCTTTCTTTGCGCTTGAGACATTTTCTGTCCCTGCAGGTTTAGATCCTGGGGGAGTATTGGCAGAACCCATGCATCCCATTTTCTTTTAGGATTTGGCATAGGAGCTTTTTGGAGATCTGGACACAAATATCTGCTCTCTTCCTCAGAATGTGACTGTTGCTATCTGATAAATGGGTGGGATCATGCAAGGTCAGTTGCTGTTGGTTGTGATCCCAGCATTGCCAGCACTCAGTCCTGTCTCACTTGAAGGGGTTGGCATGGCTACCAGTCTTCATTCCCCTTTTTTAAGCCCTTAGTTTCAGGATAACCTGTCAAAGGAAAGAGCAGTACAGTTGCACAGCCCCTGATCCACCAGCATGACCTCAATGAGAATTAGGTTAAAGCTAATGCAAAATAGGTGAAGCCTTGCAAAGCAAAGAATACCCAGGGGGGACTCCAGACTCAGAGAATGAACTGCTTTGTCACCATATTAAATCAAATGCACAACACAGATAGTTTCTGCTAGCACGCAGTCTGCAGAAGTTCTGGAGGTGAGAAGGGATCTGAGCAGCTATTAATTTTATCTGTGTGCAGTAAGTCTTTTCTACCCCTATGGAGAAAGATAAATGCATGAAGCTTCTGGAGCCTGAGTTTGCTGAATTCCTCATGGATTTGAATGGCCACATTATAACGTTGGCTTGGGAGCTCATCAGACCTCAAAATAGAAGCAAATCTGGTGATATGCAGTGCTGGGAAAGTCAACAGAGAAAATGAGCATTCCATAGGAACAGTGGTTTTAATTTACCACTGCCACAGCAGTTCCATGGTCCCTGCTTCCACTTGGAAGCTGAGTCCATGACATGAAGGGGGAACATCAAAAGCCAATGAGGGACCCTGGATTGCAAAGCAGATAACCTTGCTCCACTGAGCAAAATGCTTTCTTTGTTCCTTTGATCTGGGAGGGGTACTATCTGTTGGCACCCAAACTGCTTTGGGGGATTTTGCTGAACTCCACTGCCCCACCAGCTCACAACATTGGAGGCAGTTGGATTTCAAGGATGAAATCAAATAATTCCTCTGTGAGCTTATTGTGAGATGTCTTTGGCTAAAAGCCTGGGAACCAATCTTCTCATGGCCTAGTATTCAGTGATAGCAGGCTGCTTTATGCTGTATTAGTCTCCTCCACATGCTTGTTTTGAAGCAACAGAGTTCAGCTGAGGGTGGGGGAGAACAACACAAAAATATTGCTGATCTCCACTACTGAGAAAAAGGCCAGAGCCCCATGCAGGGCCCTCAGGAGGGACAAGAATCTATCTGTTGAGATTAAGCCTGATTTAATTTTTCTTATAAAGCACCTTAGCAGCTGTCTACATCTGATAGGTTGTTAGTAAGACTTTCCCTCATTGCAAAAGGGAAAGTAATTTACATTGGCTTTGCATCTCTGGCAAGCAGAAAAGATCGTGCCCCACCTGAGAATGATTGGGGAGCAGACAGGTGCATGCAGCATGGGGGGAAGGGAGGAAGGCTGGCTCCATACTAAACAACCACAAGAAAATGCCATTTGGAATGTAGCAATGGGTGAGTGACCTGGGCAGAGAATCAGCTTTCCGTCCACAGCAGTGCTTTGGAGCAGCTTCCCAGCCAGATCCTGCAAGATTGCTCTACAAGGAGCAACAGTGCTGCCTGACTGCAGGCTGCTCCATTTAGCCCAGTGCTTCTGCTGACACACTGCTTGCTCTCCCTTGTTAGAGGCATGGGAGCTCCAGCACCAAGCTGCCCTAGGACTTTTTTTTATTTTTCTGCTCATAATGAGCTGATAGCGTCTTAGGGAAGGACTGTGGCATTCACTGTGTTGTAAAGGTCTCTCCAAGAGGTGTAGGGGTGCAGTTACCCAACCTCATGTCTCCAGTGCAGGATTTGCACTTTGCAGCCCACCAGCTTTAAGTGCCCCTGCCTTTTCTGCCAGAAATGAGCTGTGAAATGCTGAGGAGGGGAGAACTAGAATTATGTCAAACAAAAGAGGGTGATGGAAGCGTTTTTTTTTTCTTGTTCCTTGACCACTGGGACCATGCAGAGGATTTGTTCTCTTAAAAGGCAGAGGCTGCTGGGTCCAGAGCTTTCTCCTGGACTGTCCTCATTTTCTGAAGCATTTTCAGAGGGGGTGGTGAGCAAAGAGAACTGATTGCTGAGTGCTTGCAGCTGGAGTGGGCTGGGAGACTCCTGAGAGCTTTTCAGTGCCCAGGCCAACCTTTCTGCAGGTAGGAAGAAGGGCACTTGAGGTTGTTTTCTTTTTCTGTGGTCCACAGAGATGTTGAAAGCTTCTGGATGACAGAGGAGGAGAAGCCCTTATGTTGCAAGGACTCGGTGAACACAAGGTAAGTTTGTTTTTTTGACTTGGTGTTTAAACTGTCTTTAAAAGAAAGCGATGTCAGAGATTGTGTTAGAGCTTTGGGTAGCAAGATGTGGTTGTTTTGCAGAAAGTTGTGGCTGATTTAGGGCGCTGGTAGGGGCAAGTAGGGAAGAAAGCCCAGGCTGCCCAGAAAAACTGGATACCTCATCCCTGGAGGTGCTCAAGGCCAGGTTGGATGGGGCCCTGAGCAGCCTGACCTGGTGGAGGGCAACCAGCCCATAGCAGGGGTTGGAGCTCCATGGCCTTTAAGGTCTCTTCAATCTAAGCCATTCTGTGATCGCGTAGCGGATGGGGAAGGGTTTTGTTGCTGGACAACATGGTTGAACAGCTTGGGGTAGGTCATTGGAAGATCCTGTAGTAGGAGATTACTCAGGAGAAAGGTGAGTCCTTTCAGGGGAGCTTATCTGTAAAAATCAGGACTATGAGAACATAACCTGAATATTAATTAAAGATCAATGTATCTAGGTGTGAAATTTCATTCCTTTCTTGATTGAGCTGTGCTGGAGAGCAGCGTGCTTTGACAGTGGGTGCATTGTACCCTTGTTCTATGGAGCTCTCAGGCACTCCTGTCATAGCTGCAGGTAAATAGGGGACCTTGCTAAAAAGGCTCAGCATTTACAGCAGCCTTTACAAATGAGGGATCTTGCCTGAAAGCAAGAAAGATGAAATTAAGACAAGTGCAAAGTGCTCCTTTTAGACAGGCAAAACAGAAGACAAACAAAACAGGGAGTACGTGATAAGGCAGCAGTACGGCAGGTGAGGTCCTGGGGTTTGTGCTGCTTCACAAGCAGAATATGAATCAACCCTGCACTGCTGCTGCAAAACAACTCGTTGTACCCAACACTGTATTAATGAGAGTGCTCTTTGCCAGATATGAGAGGCAATTATTGCAATCTGCTTGGGGCTGGCAGAGCTTCAGCCAAGTGTGGGTGTCTGGAACTGATGAGAAACTTTGTCTACACCCATTCAAAAACTGGGAGGGATAGTCCAGTGAGGGGTGGGGAGGGAAGGTGAATGATGAGAGGTTAGGCAAACAAATACTGTGAACAATGCTTGAAGACAGTGCATTTGTTTATTTTAGGAGGAAAAAAATGTGGAAATGGGATGCAGTAAGTCTTTTTACACATAAATAGTACTTATAAAAAGGCTGGAGATGAGGTGTTTTCCATAGTCACTGGAGTGGAAAAAAGAAATTGCTTGAATTTATAGTGGAGATGATTTAAGGTGTTTATTAGGAAAGCCCATCTAATTCCTAGAGGGGTAAAACACTGAAGCAGGCTGCATGGGGAGGATCACAGATTCATTAAGGCTGGAAAAGGCATCTAAGGTCATCTACTTTAACAGTCCACCTACCAGCAGTGGTGCCCATGTCCCTCAGTGCCACATCTCTATGGCTCTTGAGCACCTCCAGGGTGGGTGAATCCACCACCTCCCTGGGCAGCCTGTGCCACTGCATCATTGCTCTTTTGGAGAAGGATTTTTTCCTAGTAAGATGATGCAGCATCCCCCTTCTCAGTGGATCTTAGAGCAGGTTAGACAAACAACAATCGGGACAAATACTTAAGTATATTTGATCCTGTCTCTGATGATCCCATGGGATGCCTTTCTGCCATACATTTCTATAATTAAGTACAATATAAAGACACAGACTCTTCCTTGAGGAGTTAAAAATCTGTCTATAATTAGAAAAAGTCATAATCGTTTAATGATAAAACTAGGTTAAACGTGCCTTATGTGACAGCTCCGTTAATGTATCATTATGGAGCAAACATCAGGAGGGAAGGGAATTCTTTAAACTAAAGAACAGCGCTGGTGTAGCAACATGAGTATAAAACTGGCCAAGCATATATTAGGCAGGAAATTGAAAGAAAGTTTTGAACTGTCAGAACAGCAATGTTCTAAAACAGCCTTTTATAATGGGAATGCTGCGGGCAAAAATCAGAACTTGTTTTTAAAACAGAGCTCGCAAAATTAATTCAAAGGATTATATAGAGCTACTGCCTGTCGTAGTGGAGTCCCGGGCGAGGAGATCCCTTTTGTTTTCTTATTTTAGGAGCTGGGGGGAACAGAAGCGTTTTTGCCCCAGCGGGGCTGTTTTCTGCTGTTTATTGACACACGTGTGCCTCTTTCATCCCGGTGCTTTTTCTGCTGTGCAGCAGTTACTGATGTCCCTTTTAAGACGTGAAGGTCACAGCTCTGTTTAAAATGGCATAATTGCAATAGATGTAACTCCATCTTTGGGAAGACCTTCCAAAAGGGGTCTGCAAATCCTCAGGTGCTGCAAATCATCTTGACTGTTCCAAGGTTGCAAACTGTTGCTGACTGCAGAGAGCGTGGTTTGGGGTTAATGTGAGCAGCTGGGAGAGCTGCCTCAGGTTTGGCAGCCCTGGTGGTGCAACGTGAGGGGTTGGGGTGGGACAAGAAGCTGCTGCAATGGGATGCTGTGTGCCAAATGCAGCTAACAGGACAGTTCAGGCTCTATGCCAGCAGAGGAACTGAATTCGGTGCTGACAAATGAAACAGAGATGTGATTGGAAATGCCACGCTTTGGAGTTATAAGCAATTTTCCTATAATCAATCATCCAAACCAAATTGTTTTCATTTCTTTACAATATTTAGCACCCCTTTGAAAGCAGACAATAGGAGCTGTGTTTTGATTTCTTCTTTTGACCTGTTGCTCAAACTGATGTGATTTGTGTGCTTTGGCAGTGGGATGCTGGTGGGAAGAAGCTGAACTGGGTTCAGTGTTTGAGGGGGAAAAAAAAAAAACCTTGGCAAAGACCACATCTGTGATTATCAGCCAATCATTCAGATAGAGACGTGGTTTGTCCGCTCGCATTAGGTTTGTAGAGTATCTGGCTGTGCAAAGCTGTCAATGAAACTTCTGCATAAGAGGATGGTGGAGGGAATGAGGGAGGTGTTGAGGGAGAGCTGGGTTTGAGAGCCTCTGGCTCCCTGAATGATAGCAACAAAGGTGAGATGTTATTAGACCCATCAGCTCTCCTGGGTGTTCCTAATTACATGAAGTTGCTGACCCAGTTGGAGATTGTGCAGGAGGGAATAAGTAGAGCAGGAAGGCTGGTTCTGATATCCTGGGCTGACCCATATCAAACAATCCCTTTTCTTTTCTTAGGGTTAAGTGCATTTCTGAGATCTAGGGGGATGCATCTGCTTTCCCTTGGCCAAAGTGTGTGAGAAGGGAGAGGAAGCTTGTGGGAAGCATAAGATGAGGTGACTGGGCCGTGCTGAAAAACTGCTTGGTGCAAATATAACAGAGTGGGAATTTGTGGGCAGATGCAGCAAGAATAAAGGCAATGCCTGCTCTGGAGTGTGTGCTTTTCATCTCTTTTGAGTCTGATCGCTTTGGCCACATTTCAAGTCATGACCTGTTTGCACCATGCTATAAATCAGCTCAAGATGGATTTGTGGAAAGGTAGCCTGCAAATGCTACGTCCTTTGCTGAGGCAAGTCTTCTTCCCCAGGCAGGCAGTACAATGAGCAGGATCTTCTCATCTGCTGAATTCAGAGCTGCCATTAAGCTTGTTTGTCTCAGGGTATGTCTCAGCAGGAACATCCCACTCTTTAGCCAAGATGCAGGCCTTGCTGCGTGCATGTCAGGGCAGGTGTGCATGGCCTGCTATGCAGCAAACTGACAGAGACCTCACTAATGGAGCCTGTCCCACTGAGTGATGCTCCCTTAAGGGATGCTCAGCCTGGCGCCTATTGGTCCCACGGCAGGCAGTTGGTATTTGGAACTGCTGGAAAATCTCAGCATGTCATAGGAGTTCCCAGTGTTCTTGTTCATCAGGAAAGGGTACAAACATTCTTTTCTAAAGAGAGCTTTGAGACAAACAGAACTGGAGAGCAATTTAAGGATTAGTTTCAGCTTTGATTCAAGAGCTTGACTATATATATAATTTTAAATATCATTGTGCATTTCAGTTTACATTCAGCTGGCCTTCCTTGCCAGTGGTGTGGCATGTGTGGGAGTGCAGGGTCTGGGTTTTCTTGTTGTCAAATCTGAACAAATACTGTGTTGGGAGCCCGCTCACTCAATGCTGGGAATCACAGAGGCGCCGGGACCTCCTGGCATGTCCAGGTAAACAAGAAAGGTGCGTTGATTATATCACTGGCACAGCAGATCAGCTCTAAGTACACGCTGCTCTGTGGCTCGGCTTCTTTGCAATAAGTGGAGATGGTGCTGCTTTTCTTCCTGCTCTTGTCCATCCTGCCTGTTTAGCTGCTGCTGGTGGAACAAGGAGTGTTTCTTGGTTCATGTTATACAGTGCTATGTACACCAGGGCTCTGTTTGCAGCAGGGGGCTTTCAAGTGTTGCATTAGAGCAAGCACACAGACCAGACCTGGTAGATGAGCAGCCTGGGTAGCACTAACAAAGGTGATAGATGGGCATGTGCCTGTCAGACTGCAACAGCTGAAATTCACCCAGCAAATCCCATTTGTAACAAACTACCATTTACAGACATCCTCACAGGAAGACCTGTTATTTTTTTTCCATTGCCAATTGGTTCTCCTTGATAGAGCAAATGCTTACATGAGGTTGAATGGATGCGATGATCTTTATCTTCCTGCTCTCCCCAAGGTATGCTGTATTTAGCCCACAAGGGTACATCTTCGCCTCTCCTTCATGTCTTAATTTCCCTTTTATAATGCCACTTAAATACTGAGCAGTACAAAGCCTCAAAGCACTGAATATCTATGGACAGTTAAAAATGAGTGTTGCTCTGTATTCTGAGGTGGTGGATTGCCCTCTCCTTTTATGGTGACTATGGGGACCTCGACGGCCACTTTGAGCAACATGTAAGGCTTTTATCTCTACTTCAACTTCCTCTATCCTCCTTCTCCTGATCTTCAGAAAATAATAAATCCACTCCTGATCATGGTGGTTAAAGTTTCCAAGTTCTTTTAATTAAGGCATGCTTTCCCTCCATTCAGATAAATGGCTCA